CTACCAGCAGATAAGGTAGTAGTAGAGATACTACCCATGCTGCTGAGAAGCCAGGTTTCTTTATCCATCAACTGGCAGCTGCTATCCCATTAGGCTATATCAGAGGAGGAATAGAAGGAGTGTAGCACTACTCTATCAGCACTGTTGAGAGACCAGCAACTTTTGGCTCCTCCTCTCCTTGAACAGTTTCCTTCTTAGGAAAACATTAGAAGAATGGGCAATCAATAACTAGCATGTAAGCTTGCTACCTTCCACTCCATTTTTCTGTTTCATGTCTTTCAAGATTGTAAGACTGATGGCAGTGTCTGTATTTTATTGACGTGTAAAACTCTCAGGAAGCCCATTTCAGCTAACGGGTGGGTTAAAATTCTAACAATAACAACAAGTGGAATATTTATTTGTATAACACCCTGCACATATAGCACCCACTGCACAATGACATTATCTGTAGAATCCATACATTACAAAATCCACTGATTTTGTAATGTATGGATTCCTACGACAAGAGATTAGTTCCAGTGCAGAAATGGAAAGAACAGGGTGTGACAGTGTGGTTTTGACCCCACACTACACAGTGAATTTGAGGATTTTAAGAAAATACTGCTTAGAGGATTACAGATTATAATGACAAAGAATTCCATATTGCTTTCCTGGATGTCAATAACAGAATTCCCTTTCACTTTAAATGGTAAGAATTGCATTCAATCTCTTGCCTAAAATTCACTATTATAAACTCTTATTCAAGCCAAAAACCTACATTCAGAAAAATAATAATACACCTGATGTTTCCATCCTTTGAACACTAAGAAGGTTATAAGTGTATCTTTTATTTGAGTTTGCTATTAAAAGTAAAAGGCTGAGCTTTGCAAGCAAAAAGTGCTGAAACAAAATATACTGTACACTAGTATAGTGATTAAATAAGGTGGATTATGCACGATAAATTAGCACATCAAATAGCTCTGAAACAATAGGAAAACTTTAAAAAGCAAGTAACCCATTCAGGGCTGCCAAAATTACAAAATTCAGGTGTTGTAATTTGTTTATTATTTATCTCAGATGGAGATAATCAGTATGATAACAGTTTAATTTTTGTTGTTGCAAATGACTTCTTCCAGTTCTCAACTGCAGGACATGAATTGTTCCCAACTGAAATGAGACTGAGTGCTCCTATTATGAGGAATAAGGATCTAACTCTCTTTTTCTGCCTCCCACTTTCTTGAGAAATAAAGATTTAAGCTTTAGTTGTGTTTCCCACCTACATGTTGTGGCTATACTAAACCCCTCATTATAGTTACTGTTTCTCCAGTGCAAGAATGTTCTTTTATGTTTAATTCAAGAAGACAAAGCAACCATGATAAACCAGGGTTACTATTTTCAAATTCATTAATGTCACTGGTATCAAAATGGCAACAAGTGAACTATAGAAAAGCTCCTTTATTAAAGGCTAACATGCCGTGTTTCTTTTCCTGTACCTCTTTATTTTACTAAGTTCATGGGTTAAAAAAAGGACATGTGAAGAAATATTTCAAAGAGCTATATTCCTTTCCTTATGGCTTGCCTATAGGGAAGATCATTTTCTTCTTACTTCAGCCATCAATATTTTTCAGGTTCACATATTTATTTTTAATGACTAATGTTATGAAGATGGTTTCTGTCATTACACACGCACACAGACTCCTTCAGGGCTACAGCTGCACAAAGCTAATATTTCATATATAACTTTGAAAAGGCTTCTGCCTTTGGCCACCCCTGAATCTCACCTATATACAGAGTACAAACGGGCAAAAAAAGAGTGTCTGAGAAGACTGCCTTGGAGGTGGAGAATTTGTTATAAAGCACTGAGATGGTTACTTTAGATGAGATTTTTTTCAGCCCTTTGAACTTTGCTTTTCCAACAGTTCTTTTGTAACGTGGCCCTTTATTATGTGTCCCCCTATCCAAGAAGGCAATTTGCGTCTTTCTCCTTTAAGATTTTACAAACTTGACTCTGCATCTGCCATCAGAGGAATGTTCATTGGCCGGAGTACATGCACACCTGCTTGAGAGAAAATTTCACTGACACCCACGCTATATATTTACAGTAGGTGAGTTTAGGGGTGTTTCCCCCCTGCAATTTATTGTTAACTAAGTGTTGCTTAGGCATGTAAGCTTTGAGCAGTGTCATCCTCATCTAAATGTGGGCCTTACTATTTTCTCATTTAATCCTGATTTTACCATTGTGCAGAAAATCTGGTAAAATAAGAAAACATCATGGAAAGAGTAAATCTGGCTTAAACGAGGGTTTTAAAAACCCATATGGGGTAGCAATTTGATGAGGATGATGTAACATGGACACTGTGAAAGACTTGCATGCCTGGGCAGCATCTAGTCCACAGTAAAGTGCTATGCAGAAGCAGCAGATGCCAAAGCTTTGCCCATGTTAGTCCTTCTGCAAAAAATACCCAATTACAAGTGAAGGCATTCAGAATTCTCTTCAGAAACAATTTCACATATAAATGCCAAAACAGTTACATTAGCCATGATTAAAATAAGACATGTATAAGGCATCAGGTATGGAAGTGAAGCTGTCTGATCCCCCCCCCCCGGCAGCGACTCACATTTCCCCAAAACCAAGTTACAATCCCCACAGCAGGTTGTCTCTTCTGTAGTAGGAGCTGCTGCAGATAAACGTTCAAAGGAAGTTCCAATTACACATATGCTGATGCCCTTTCTAAACATAATCAAGCTCTTTTGATTTCATATCTTATTTGGTTTGGGGGTATATGGCAAATACAGCATATGCATATTTAGTTGGGAGTAAGCTCAACTGAACCCAGTGAGGGTTACTCCTGAGTTGATGGAGATAGGATTGGGCTGTGTTTCATTATATTTGCTTAGAACAGCGTGAGAAGCCGTGTCTGTCAGTATAAAATAATAGCATATATTTCAGAGAAAGTGTGGTTGCTGGTTAAGCATGCTTAATCTCTATTTGTACATTCTTATTGAGATTATAAAAAACTCATCATCTTCCTTGCATCCTTCAATCCCTTATGTATAAAGAAAATTAATCATTCTTACACAGTAATTCAGTGCTTGAAATTGCTTAAATTACTGCCAACCAGCCATTTTAGCCCAATTTGAACAAAATAATGCTATAAGAGGGGGGCAGGATAATTCTTTCCTCAGATTAATTCCCATATCTGCCCTCCACCCTTGCCTTTTGAGCCCTACCTAACATTTAGAGATTTTTTCCTAAGTTCACTCCATCTGAAGTTCATGTTATCCAGGCGTCTCTGCAACAAGGCTGCATCATCAGAACCTTCCAAGGATCTCAAGATTTTCTGTCCATTTTCATCCAGGCTGTGGAAGATATCAGTATGGGTTTCAATTTCTTTCTGAAGTTCCTATGAGGCAACACAGAACAAATACATAAAACACTGGCGAAGAAATATGCTAGGGAGAAGTTAACAGAAGACATTAGCAATAAAGGTACATTTTGCAAACTCAAATGAAAATAACACTGATTCATTATCAATAGTGTTTTAGAATAACTGAAACATTCATGTTCCCAATTTAAATTAATCACTTTGTATTTATATATATTTAAATTGTCCTTTACTTTATGTTATTGCTTCCTAATGAAAAATAAACTCTTCTATATACTATTTAGACTGTGTGGTGGTTTCCTCAATAATAATAATAATAATAATAATAATAATAATAATAATAATAGATTATTTATTTATTTATACCCCGCCCATCTGGCTGGGTTTCCCCAGCCACTATCAAGCTAGGCATGGTAATATTATTTTATACTGGCATGGCACTGTATTAGTCAGAGAGAACTATACATTTCATAACATGCAAAAGCATTTACAGTTATCGTTGGGCTCTGACGTGTGCCAGGGAGGCAACAATTGGTTATGTCATCATGCCGGTGAGAATAAAAACAGAGACACCAAAACCCCTCAGGATCCCAGCCAAATCTGACCTTTACATGGTATGTCTTCCTGTGTAACATTTTCAACTTGAACCAGAGGCTTCAGAGCAGGTCTTGCTGCACAGAAATCCAAGGAAAACTAAGCTACTGCAACAGCAGAGCTTTAAAATGCCAAGTTCAGTTACATTCCATTGACAGAATGCATTTCAGAGCACAGGCCTCAACAGTCAATAGTAATAAACAGTCACTTTGTACTATGTCAAAACATCAGTCAGGGCCATGGCTGTAGGAGGAACGGAGAATAGCCAGAAGGACCTAGAATGCACAACTGGCAGCTTATGCTGGACTGCCAACTTTTCTTATCACTTTGGAATTGCAAGCCAGAAACTTTTTAAATATTCATGTTTCCCTTCATTTTTAGCCAGGCAGCAACTGCCAAAGGAACATTCTTTGGAGAGCTAACTGCCTGGTACTCACATTCCGATCTGCCTACATGCTGAATGGAGTCTTTGTGTATTATCTATCCCACACTGTGATTTCTAAAAAATATTTTAGCTCCATGAACTTATAGATTTATTCTGGGGGTCAACGCTGCCTGCTCATTAGAATCATCTTATATACAAAAATAATAAAACTATTTCTTTCAAAGTTAGAGGGGAAGTGTTGGAGCTGTCAGCATGCTGGCTGTGAGCAGTCCTGGATTAATAATTCGCTACTTTATACAAACAATACCTTATGTCCTTGAATTAAAAAATATACTGCACAGTGTTTCAGTAGTAGTGGTGGTATTCTTTGTTTAATTTCTTAGTTGCCTTTCTCAAAAATTGGCCACAACAGCTTACATAAATGTAAAATGCTGAGTTTAAAACCAATACTAAAAGCATGCATGCCATGAAAATTAATAAAATTAAAAACTGCAGAAGATATGGAAAGAGGAATAACTTGTGCTATTTTCAGTTAAATTCATTGCTGGGTAATAAGTGTATGAGGGTTCACTGGCAAATTCCTGTTTGGTCTTCCTTTGCTAGTGGAATAAAGACTGAACTGTTAATTAAAATGTTATTTATTTATTTATTTATTTAATATTTGATTTGCAGACTACTGTGACAACCTCCAAAGTCAAAGGTTCTGTGTGCACTGTAGAAGTGAACTGCTACCATATAAACGACATATCTTCAAGGTTGATGCAAATATAGCTAAGCATGCCTATATGGTAGAGTTTTGGTTCAACTCTATAAACATTTGCACTAGCAAAAGAACATAAACGGATGTCCTCCCTTTAATTTTGATACTGTTCTTTGTGGTGACTCTTCTCCACATTTTGCTCCGCCTGCTTTCAAATTGGCTTATGTCCAGTTTGCTACAATTTTCCATTCATGTCTGCCTCAACCCCTTACTGCTTACACAACACAGTGTTGACTACAACACTGAGGACTCTTGAAGCAACTTCATGCATACACTGATTAAATTGCAGAGAACAAATATGTGTTCGTGTAAATTGCTCTTATTGAGGGGGATGGGAACCTGTGTCAAGCTGTACATGCATAGCATCCTGAACTCAGTCCAAAAATAAAATAATAATAATGGAAGAGTGCTGGATCATTAATGCACTTCAGAAACTAGTTGAGGTAATCTGGAATCCCAAAATCTGAGGGGAAATTTAGCTGAGATTATTTAATAACTCCTCCCTCAGCTGAAAGACCAACTGGATATTTAAAAACCCCCTCTCAGGTGTGACCTCAAAGTATAGAACAAAGAGCATCACAGTATTTCTTTTCATCTCTCAGTCAGTACAATGCTGCAGGCTTTATAAATGTCAATGAAATAATGAACATTTTTTCATGTGGTAACTCTTCACTTCTTTAAGTTGCATGTTCACCTGAGCACAAGTCCCATCAAAATGAGTGGAGATTATTTTTGAGTAAGCATGTATAGCGGGTGACTCACTCAGAGGTAAGACTGTGCAGAGGCCTGGTTCATGTCACCTTTCCGCTCTCCTCTTTGAGGGGGAAGAAACATGGGAGCCAGGCCTTTGCACAGAGATTACACTTCATACAAGATTCTATCTGTGCTGTGGCCTTCCACAGATATATGTTCAAACATGCAAGCAAAGCACCACTTTGGGAATATATCAACTGGGGCTTTTACAATAGGACATTCAAATCAAATGTCACCAGGCCTGAAAAATCACCTTGTGGTAAGTGCATCACTTTGGATGCCACCTCACTGGCTTGTCAGCAACCACTCTAAGTCTAAACTGTACAACCTATTGGAGCAATATTTGAGGCTTTATAAAAGCAGCAACAACGACAGCGAGACAAAATACATTCACACCCTCAGTCACTTCAGACTAATCTCAAGATAAAATTACACAAAATGCTGTTACTTCTTTGAAAAAGATTCTACATCAAGATTAATGAGGCCCAGCAAAGCTTTTTTAGCTAGATGTTGTGGCAAGTGTGAAACTCTCCAGGGAAACCCAAACATAAAAAATGCATTAACAAATAACTTTTTCAGAACATGGTCACACATAAATCTGACCACATGAAAATCCATTAACACTAGCTACACTGAGGAAAAAGGAAAATCACCGTCATACAAAATTCATTCTCAGAATGTTTATGTACTACTTATAGTTGACCTGATAGCTATGGCCCTCCTCTGCTAATCAATCAGTGGCTGAACAAGACCTTTATTGTCTTTCTTAAAAAGAAGAGGAACAGGAATCTTCTAAGTCCATCCAAAACCAACCAACTCCAGTGCCACCTAGTGATTCCATCTTATAATGATACAATCCACATATTTTCCTCTTAATTAAAGGGTTGTTGTTGTTTTTTATTACAAGGAAGAACAGTTAAGCTTTGTGGAGCTTTGTGGCAAGACATACGCTATGTCATTTTCTCTAGAAAACTATACAGCATTCTCAATGCTAACCAGATGCCTATGGGAAGTCTGCACAAAGAGACATGATTCCAAGAGTACCCTCTCAACTTGTGCTCCCTAGCAACCTGCATTCAAAGGCATATTATCTGTGATACTGAAGGTGGTACACTAGCTTGCTTCACTAATAGACATCCTAAACAAAGTCCCCAGGTGTCTGTTACCTGTGTTTTATTCTGGAACACATAAGTCATGTAGTTCTGGAATTTTTCCCACCAGAGTGTCACTGATTTGCAGGATAGCTTATCAGAAATAAGAAAGTAATTGATGTCAAATCACATATTATAAGGACTATATGAAAAGTGACATATGGCAGCACACCTTAATTATTTTCTGACAATACCCATGAGGCTGATCAATCAATTTCATTTTTTTAATATTAAAGAGGATGAAAGGCACTTCTAATACTACATTTAGAAGAACTGTGTGCCGTATATGAGATAAGAGTATAATTAGAGATGCATGCTTAACTCAGTTTAAACTGGTAAAATAATTCAACTAAAGCTTTTCCAATTAATTAGTGGTTCTATTGTGTTGGAACAGAGAAGGTAAAATAAGGTATTAAACAAAGTGATAGCTTTTGTTTATTGAATTATAAGCTATTTTGCACTTCTGTAAATAAATAAATAGGCATTGCTACTAAATTTGATAAATTGGTTCAAATATGATGGCTTGATCAATCAATCATCTAAATTATTTAACTGATTAGCCTTATGTATAAACATAAACAAAGGCATTAAGACTGAAAGGAAACAATGACACCAGTATTTATTATCAAGGGCTCTGCAGCTATTTTTCATTTAAAATGTATGAGTGAGTTACATCTGCTCTGGAATATTCATGCTGACTAAGTACCATCCAGAGAGGTTGGGTGTGCCTGATTCTCATCAAGTTTCTAAGGAGACTTAACTTTTCAGTTTGTCCCACTGAGCGTTTCTCGCAAATGTATATTTCCTATTGGGTCCTCTTTGGCTTTGTTAGCAAGTCTCTTCTCAAAGCTGTTTGTCTATACGGTATATCTATACACCAGCTTCTCTATGCACTGCAATTATCTGTTGAGTCATTCCAAAATAAATGAATGATCCTTAAATTTATTAATTGATTTTAATTTATGAAGAATGCATTCTTATGGTCCTTGAGAGAGTGTCCCTAGGGGCCACAGGATTTTGCTGATATGCCTGGAATTAAATTGTAAGTGGAGCAGAAGACACTGAGCTCATCGTTGAATAGCAGTGGCCACAATGCTCAAATAACAGATTTCAGGAAAATGCATAAAATGCCTACTAGCACTTCTCTGAAATTATACTCTCAAACACAATGCAAACTCAGTAAAAAACAAAACAAAAAGTTAATCTAGATATAGCTGTAGCCCACATCAACATGCAGGCTGTACAAAAATTCATTCTAGAGCTGCTTTATCTGATACTTTATTGTTCTTCATTTTAGCAAGCTATGTTTAGCGCAAGAGAATCTTTTGTTTTATGAGAAGAAAGATATATTGTAGGCCTTTCAAATCACTTGACTAAAAACATTTTTTCTTCTGCTCTGTAAAAGATATCAACATTTGTATGATATAATGTTAACATATAACATAAATCTTAACCAACATAATATAATCTCAAAAAATGCATGCCAGGAGAAAGTGTATTTTAGGACAATGTATGCAACAAAAAACGGGTGAATTTAACTTACTGTTTGCCTAGAGTCATAAGAAATATATCAAGAGCTGCAGATTAAAGATTCCCCCCAACAATGACTAAAAAAAATACCATAGAATGCAACATTGCCTCATAAGAAGTCCCAGGAAAACAAAATAAAGTATGTCACCATTATGTATTTCCTATTGCAGTGAAAATGCTCTTTTCTTCTCCTAGTCCATCAGTATAACATTTTGGGGGGTTTATCTCAACAACATTTACACAGCAATTTCCATAATGATAACATCTTTTCAATGAAATGTTAAATGCAATTAAGGGGCAGATATTATGTGTTAAAAGCTTTGTTGTGAAATGGCTATACATCATCATGTCATCAAGCCTCTTTTCCAACCAGTCTATGGCATGACCTCAATTCCAGTTTGGTATGATTACATTGCAGAGTTTCATGTTAATGACTTGATGAGAAAAGATAGATAAAATTGTATCTCTCTCCTGCAGTGATAAGCCTATGAATATTGCTAAAACATTTCCAGGATCGAACACCATTTTAAAAAGATAACAGAAGATGAAACACATCTCCAGAAAAAGAAGCAAATGCTGACAGGTGAAAGCTAAAAGAAGAGCCTTTCAAAGATGATCCCTGAAATCTTAGAAGCTATTGTGATTTCAAATAAAATTGTTGAAGAACTAAATGATGTATGGATTAGACTCTAAAGACAAGGAAAGGGCAGCTCAAACATGGTGGGTAAAGAGATTTAAATAAAGGAAATGAAAAAGTCATATGCGTCTGTACATTGCTCCAACCCTTCCATTTCTACTTTCCCTGCCATCTGTGTCCTTAGAATCACATTGTGATACAACCTTTCATCGCCTTTGGGAGACATTGCATTGATTTCTTTTTTAATCTAACCCAACTAATTTTTAATCCCATAACTTCAGAGATCAGGTCTCACTGCTGTCTGCTGTAATGGGAGAGTGTATGACTTGACTTTTCTTTGGTTCATTCTGATGGAACAAGGAATCAGTCTTACTTGTGTTGCATTGTGATATCAGCCCCTCTGTGACCCTTACTCTTGCTTGCGACTCTTCCTGACTCTATAAATTGAAAGTATTGATAAGTCATCCATGTGATACTCGGAAAAACTCCCAAACTAATAACTGTCAGTTCCCACAGAGAACATATTTTCTCTAAACGGACACTGATGCTAGCCCAGACAAAATTTATGCCATTTTAGAATTAGCAAGGCAAAGGTTATTTACTCCAAATGCAGAAACTTAACACTAGATAGCTCATGGACACAAGATGGCAATCATTAGGCACATCCGGCAGCAAAGTTACCAACTTTTAGTTCAAAAAGAATAATTTATTTTCCCATTTCACACCATTACTGCTGCTCCTATTTTACATGCACACCCGAGATGCAAAATTTAATTCACAATTGATGTTTTGAGTAGTTTAACTAGCACATAGTGGCTCCAACAATCTTCGACATAATCAACGGCACTCTCAAGGAACAACTGTAATGCTCCATTGGACATTGGAGTAAGGAGGACTGAGATTTCTACTGCCTAATCGTTCAATGGGGAGAACCTAGCTTTCACAGGCCTTGGGTTCTGATCACCTTTCTATTCACTCCATTGTGGGACTGCTCAGGAGAACAGGGAAAAGTTATTATTTTGTTTCTATCTCCACCTTCCAAGGCAATAACTAATGTGAACCTCACCCACTTTTGCTACTGCTAGGGTCTTAGTTTCTTAGATCAGGAGTGTGAATATCTGAGTCACGTACAGCTGTGATTTTATATATGATCATATGCTTCCCACATCTATCACTGTGAAATTACTCTATGTATACTTTCTTGTAATAAGCAACATCTTTTTAATAAGTCTAGTGTGATTGTATGGAGCTTGGAAGGTTCCTGGATAAAAGCCTTCAGTCACTGGGGAAAGAGGTTGGAACCATTTCCTTACTCCAGCTCCTTGACTTACTGTGCTCCTTTGCTGTGAACCTGACTTCCCTGTGTGTGACCTTGTACTTTAACTGGAGTTTGCCTATTTAATTGAAACCCCTCCCCCACAAAAAGCCCCTGACTTTGGAGCATGACCTGACCTCACTCTCTGGATCATCTTGCAAGTGGACTGGGACTCCAGGCATCCTTGTCCCCTGAAGTAGGACAAGTGACCTAGACTTTGCTGGGGTCACCAAAACACAAACACCTTTGTTTCTCTCTAAGGGCTTAGCAGTCTGAATGGTTGGGGAAATAAACTATGTTGGGTTCATTTTAAATACATACTAAGCAGATAATCCTTAATAAAAGAGTTATGACTAAGTTATAGTGATCAAGTCACTCATTTTATTACTGGAAGGAGCAAGGTAATAAATTCACATGTACTCTCAATTTTCTAATTCCTTATTTTAACATTTGCCAAAGATGAAACAGTAGCAACACAGAAGCAGCATAATTCACAGTAGGAACATTTCCTTCTTCTTGGCTGCTCAGGTAAGGTCTTGATGCCTATTTTCAATGCCTTGCAAAGTCCTACTGGATAATTTGGAGAGCAGCTACCTCTATTAGTTCCACTCACATCCCACTGCTTCCAATTAGTTCTGATTTTCTCTTACAGCAAGCAGCCAGAAGGGCTGAACTGCAAAACTGCTGGAGAGAATATTTTAGTGGGGATGAGGGAAGAGCTGCTTCCCTCCTGCTTCTGTTGAAAACAATGAAATCTCCTGATTCTTCCTACTGTTTCATTGCCTTTTACTGGAACAGCTATTATAACTGAAAACACAAAGGCTCATAGGTAATACAGACAACACTGAACAAATAAGTGAATAAACATTTATGATGTTTATTGATTTGCTTATGTATAGCAGAAATCAGAGGAGCATCTGGGGGGGGGGGGGGAATGCTTCTCCCAGTGATCTGTACTAAATAATACCCAACATGTTCTGAACATTATTTATTTATCTTAAAAAAAATTCTATACCACTCCTGAATCATGTTTCTAGGGGTTCACAGTGTACACTGACAACAAACAATCGTTTCAAAAAGTATAGAACCATGAGATGCATAAAATGCACAATTATTTTCTTTTTGTGTCTTTGGCAGAATTTTGATGAAACAAAAGATCTCTCTCTTTACTACAGTGCATAAAAAACTTAGCAGTTTTATGGCGCTAGCACATTTGCAAGGCTAAGCAGAGTCCAGTATGGTTTCAAATTGGATAGGGAACTCCCTTTTTGTTCATACTAGCTTTAGAACCAAGAGCTATGTGCATCAGAACAACACCAGACATTAATGGAGCCCAAACTGGAAAACAAAACTTTATGACTGATCTATGTGCTGATAATTTAATGATTCTGACCTACTGAACACAGAAGCAGCAATACTTCGAGAGCTTAACAACTTTCAACATGCTCAGGCCTCCAGGTTAACTTCTGAGACTTTATGCTTTAATATACCATCCAAGATCCACTGTCCCCACTGAGACCCACTATTTCACAACACTTCACAACAATTTGATGTGGCTGGATGGAGGGGGGGGGAGAGTCTATACAAGTTATATGACTTTTATAACAGAAATAAATCACTATATAAACTTCCTTGTAAGGAAACTTACAACCTCCTTGGGTACTCCCCAACCAAATCCACACTAATAGACTTTGGACCAACACCCCCCCCTTAAAGTCTATTTAGGCAAGCAATAGAGAATTAACCCTAAAACTCATATATAGGTGGTACCTAAACCTTGGAAACTGGCCATGAGCCATCCTGGTTACCCATCATGTTGTTGGAGGGGCTGCCCTACACAGTACATATCTACAAGTGGTGGGAACGTACAAAACCTAGACTTTCTAGAATTTGATACTCTAAGAATTCAATAAAATAATGAAACAATTGGAAGTCAAACCAGAATTAGCTTTATTAAATATATTTCAAGACAACCACCTGGATTTACATAATGAAGAATTAATAAGCTATTTATTACAAGCAGCGAGGCACAACAGAATCAGACACTGGAAAGATCTTTCTGGAACAACAAAAGACAACTGGGACCAAACAGCCCTCCTCAAGAGATTAACAAATAAACGATGTCTGACAAATGAAGAGATCAAGAAAGAAGGTTTTACCTCAGTGTGGTTTAATGTCACAACATATGCCAGTATTTATTTTAATGAGCTACACGTCATTCAGCCATTCACTTATGAAATAACTATTATAGATGTTATTCTGATTTCATTATCCTATTTTGCTCATTACCTTTAATATTTAAATAACAGTTCCACACATCCTTTTTTTGAAGTATGCATTGTTTAAAGTGAGTGTTAAAACATGCTAATCTTAAAGCCATAAATTACTTAGGCCCCAAATATCTGAAATACTGCCTCCTTCTCTATAGTCCCTCTTGGGTGTTAATATCAGTGTGTGGGGGGAGCTCTTGGTAGTTCCATTTTAAGTATGCCCCTTTCAATGTGATCCAGGAGACAATACAATTGTAACTGCATAAGCAGCAATAAAACAAAAAACCTGGAGCTTGAACCTGGGGACTCTGTATGCCAAACTCCCAAAAACCATATACAGTGGTACCTCGGGTTACATACACTTCAGGTTACATATGCTTCAGGTTACAGACTCCGCTAACCCAGAAATAGTACCTTGGGTTAAGAACTATACTTCAGGATGAGAACAGAAATCGTGCTCTGGCAGCGCGGTGGCAGTGGGAGGCCCCATTAGCTAAAGTGGCGCTTCAGGTTAAGAACAGTTTCAGGTTAAGAACAGACCTCCAGAACGAATTAAGTACTTAACCCGAGGTACCACTGTATCAAGTGAGCTTGATCAAGTGGTCTCCTAAATGGCAGACTGCAATCAAGTACAAATCTTGGAGGGTTGGGTTAAACCAATTACCTGCATGCATGCTAATTGTGAATAAAATAAATGAATTTAGAACTTGAGACTCACATTTAAAGTCTCTGTACAGTCTTTTGCTAAATGGTCAATTTTCACATTTTATTAGATGGTAGTAAGAAAAGCCAGCCTCACAGGACTGGGATGAGCATGCTACAATTAGAATGTTAAAATATTAGAAAGCATATATAAAGATAAGACACTATTTATGATTGCAGCACTAGGGGGCCGCGTTGAATTCCATCATGAACTACTACACTATAAACTGAAATAGAGGTTATATCTTGAAAGCTGCAGCAGATAGCAGCTCATTTAATAGTAAAAACTGTTCCCTTTGACTCGAAGTCCACATTCAAGAAAGCACAAAGTAAGCCCATACCAGCTGCCATCTCATTAAGCATGGAGCTGCTCTGGGTTGATTTCAATGCCTCTGAAATAATTTGCACTTTTATTAGATTGGAACAGCTACACACTGGGTCCTGGGAAACAACTCCATATTTTATTGGAGAATCTTCAGGAATAGGCAGCTGCAGGAAATTCTGATATTCTAAGAACCAGGTGAACAACTTCAATTACAATCTAAACTGAATACTTGACTCTAATCTTTTGCTTATAATGTGCTTCAGGCACAATTATTCTGCTCAGTGGTTTGGTTTGCCAACCCACTAGAAAAAGAAAATGTATGTGACTTCCTGCATAAATCCCTTAGATGCAAAAACACAAAAAGTACCATAAACGAGTACTTTACAATTAGCTTTACAAAAAGCAATATATATATACATACATACATACATACATACATACATATACAGGTATGTTTATTCCTTAGTTCTTTTGTAGGCTGTACTGTTTTGAAACAGACAGCCTGAAATCTGTACTCTGTGTACACCCAGTCAAGAAGTATCCAAATCTATTGAATTTATATTCAATGAAGTAGGAAAAGGATACACAGAAGAGTTTATTAAAATATACATTTCAAATAAGGGCAAAGCTTGAAAAAATGCTCAATTACATGCTAGGTATTGGGGCTTGCTTATAGCAATGAGAATTAGGAATAGGAGACAAATTCAATTCAGTATGCACTGAAGGTAAAATCTATCAGATTTGCAGTTTATTAAACAATACATGAACTGAAACACTTCTATCTTTGAAATTTGCAGTTATCCAAATTTTGTGATGCAGTTCTCCAATCAAACAATAATTCTGAAAAAATCTTAGGTGAAACTGTGCAGAAAAACGAAGATACTCATGAAAATAACATAAAAAACGCATTCAATTATAGCAGGGGTGTCCAACTTCCAAGAGACTGCAATCTACTCCCACTATAAATAAACTGGCAGTGATCTTCCCATTGAATTAACCGAAGTTGTTGAGCTTTCTTGAGGGAGGATCAGCAAAAGTTGTTGAAAAAAGTTTTTTTGGGGGGAGGATGAGACAAAGCCGTTTATACACTGTCTTCTGTTGTATATTATTTACTACAAAACTTGATAACTAAGCCCTTTGGGGAAGAAATGTCTGATTACCGGAGCGACGTCCGAGCAGTGAAGAACTGATATATCACAAGTGGACTCTATTTACTGTGTTTGCAATTATTGGGAAACTGTGTACGTGCAGCTACTCACACAGAGTCAATTAAGGTTTGGCAGACAGCCAAAAGGCAATCTGAAGGAGTAAGTCTGCCTGGTGATAACAGAGGCATGGAGACAGCTCCCTGATTGGTCAAGCTCTCTCAATGGAGTGATAATTAATGGCCTATTAACTGGAATGTGTTAGTTCAGAGGTTCAGAGTTCTGTGCGTCAGTGTAGGAGTTGTGAGTCATGTATGAGAGAGCTAGCTAAAGATCCGTGTTCTGTTCCTGTAAATAGTCCACTCTATATAATATTCACCTAACTACAAGTTCCTGGTTCCTGCTTCGTCTATCCTGTCTACAGCCAAGTCGCCAATTGCTTCTGTGAATTCGGCGTTTACTCTGCTAGGTCTGGCTAAGGTCCTGCAACTAGTCAGAAATTTGCGAAACACCAATAGGTTGTGCCAATAATTTACTGTGTTTGCAATTAAAAGGTAAAGGTAAAGGGACCCCTGACCATTAGGTCCAGTCGTGGCCGACTCTGGGGTTGCGGCACTCATCTCACTTTATTGGCCAAGGGAGCTGGCGTACAGCTTCCGGGTCATGTGGCCAGCATAACTAAGCCACTTCTGGCGAACCAGAGCAGCGCACGGAAACGCCGTTTCCGTTTCCGCTGGAGCGGTACCTATTTATCTACTTGCACTTTGACGTGCTTTTGAACTGCTAGGTGGGCAGGAGCAGGGACCAAGCAACGGGAGCTCACCTCGTTGTGGGGATTCGAACCGCCAACCTTCTGATCGGCAAGTCCTAGGCTCTGTGGTTTAACCCACAGCGCCACCCGCGTCCCTATTTTGCAATTATTTAAGATAAAACCTATTTTGGAAAGAAGCTACTTTTGCCATTTATGGGCATTTATTGTTTGTTTACAGATAGTCGCCTTGGTGATATTATCTTGTGTCTATTGCAGTAGCCCTTGTATCACCACCCTGTTTATTGTTTCATAATAAAACCTAAGCAGACCAGTATACAACCATTTTCAGCCAGCAAAACCTTACAGATGCTATATAACATTTAATAAATTCTCTGCTCAGTTAAATTATTTGGACTAACATTATAAACAAGATATTCCATACAATAGGAAATAATTTGAGGCTGACTTCATTCCAGGTCTCTAAACATTTGAAGTTGCCTATGAACTACTGAGATAGTGAGTATCTAAAAGACGCAGCTTGAGGTACTTTGAGTTTAGCTGTGCAATATAATTGCAAAGTTAATAAAAAAGGAATCATCACAGCAGGGGCTAAATCAGGCAAACACAACTGCTGAGTTTGTTCTTGAATATTATTAACTCAAAAGCCTGTCTTGTCTGTGTTGTGGCATATTTGAGAGAGAAAAGCAACTTCAGGCATAGCAGCTTAATTTTTAAGAAGACTGGTTAGTGCACTAGTACATGATGAGGATTCCTTTGAAACAACCTCAAAGCAGCATCTAACATTGTGCAAAACAATCAGTTTAATTACAAACAATCTCAAGTCATGCATGCCTCAGATAGTGCACATTAAAATAAGTCAGGAAAAGGGTTTTTGCCCTTGGTTTATGCAGAAAATAAAGTTATTTCTGAGTTCTTAACACAGACACATGTGCTATCACTATACTGGTAAACCATGAACTTAGCAGGGACCTGAAAAATTCTGTCATATTAGTGGTACACTTTTGTCCTGCCATGAGACTTGACGTTCCCCAGCTGCAAACAACTGTACCACTGTCAAATCACATGCAAATACTCAAGTCTTGAACTGACAATTTATCTGAGCAGGTTAGAATGAATGCTTGCTTGTTTCATACTTGGTCTTGTGTAACTGGGCAGCTATAATAGCTGAACTATTCATCTAAATTATATTACTATGCTGTGTTTTTTCTTCTTATATATAAGAAGTAAACAAAAATACATTAGTTGATCTAAGGAAGCACTTTCATAAGGCTTAACTGACAATCTTAAAGGTGGTGGGGAAAGCAACATGCTGAAGGCAAAAACTGAATCAGAAAAAGTAGAATCTATGAACCACTGAGGCAATAAAATAACCAATATTTATTCCTCCAATCAAAATTACATTTCACATGTCATTCATTACAAACAAGCTCAGAGTGAAACAGTCGTGATACTATGAGAAATACAAGCCTATCAAATAATAATTCGTAACTGTTTTAGGCTATTTTTAAATATTCTCTCTCTTTTTCATTCTGCAATTACACTGGGGCCATTACAAACCACAAAACTGAAATCACCAAGAGTTATGTAAGATCAGTAGCTGATAGACCGTCTTTATTTCAAAAGATGTATTGGTCTCAATTCAAACATTGACAAATCAAAACTGCTTTGAGATATATATATATATGTCAGCCCTTTTTAAAAATAGATAATAAAACATAAAATACAAACAGGTCTACCTTATTTTTCAGCTTGGGCCACCTCATGCTCAGGATCTTGTGCATCTGCACAAAGGCCAGATGGGCAGGCTACCAGTTCACAATTTAAAAAGCATTTCATCATAAGGAATCTGCTTTCTTTTAAATGCTTCCTGGCTCTAGTATTAAGCAATAAACTTGTGGGGTGTTTAATAAGAGTAAGGAGGCTGGTTCAGATGTATCACAGAGCCCAAATGTATTCAGTACCACCAAAAAGCCCTTATCAGTACAGGCACCAGTCTAATCACACACCACCATCAACTGTGCTACAGCTGAATTGCTGACAAGCTAATACACAACTGGACTGGCACACTGGGAAAGATTCAAACATTGTTATCAAAATGTAGATTGCCAACACCGGATAGGGCAAAAATGTGTGAGTATGTTTGATCTGGCCCCAACTTCCCCTCAACAAAAAACTGGAAATGGGTTCCTAATTAAGAAATGAAATGAGATGACATACTTGCACTAGCAGTTTCCTGGAGTAATCTTGCAAAAGCCGCTTGATGGAAACCCAGTCTTAGGCCACAATGCTAAATTCAGGTACGCAGAAGTGTCTTGAATCTTCTTGTTGCAGGCATACCCTTCCTTCAGACCAACAGATCATCACTGTAAATGCTCAGCCTATGCTAGATGTGGCAGTTTGGGCGTCACACAGTTATTTCCAAGCAAATGTGTTTAGGATTGTGACCTCAATTTTTATGTCTAAATCGTATGACAATCTGTACATTTTGAAATGTTCAGAAAAACAAAACATGTTTTGAAAAAGACTGCAACTGTGCTTTCATTGATGGGATGCAATTTCAGAACAATTATGATTTTCTAGCTTTTATCCCAAATAATTTTAGAAAACAAATTTGTTATAGATGTTTTTAACAGCTTCCCTTAATCTTGTTGCAAGCAGAATTCTTTTCAGGAATGGCTGTGGCAACAGTTGCATAATGCTGGCAAGCGGCATCTCTAGCTTCAGAAATAGCTCCAAAATGATCATGCTCATAGCTAAGGAAATGTCTCTGCGGCAGATGTCACAGAATTATCTGTTCCGATGGAATATGCATGCTACAAACATCAATAACAGAGGGTCAGTTCATATAAGATTTCCTTTTTTCTGTAGGCAACATAACAGCCTGGATCAAGATATAACCACAGTTTCCCATGGTGATAGCACATTGTATTGACCCTTAGACTTAGTTGCTCCATTTCACCCTTTCATACATGAGAAAGTTTTAAACTTCTGTTTGTGGTTTGGAACACATAGCTATGGCCAAATATGGAAAAATGTAAGCTACAAGTCATCTCTGGGATACAACATTATGCGCCACCATCTGATATATGTTGGCAGAGCAAAGAGATGCTTCATTGCAGAGTCTGTTTTACAGAGCATTTAAAGTTCCTTGTCACCACATCTTTTTCAGCCCTTTCACTTCATGTGTTTTATTAATATAACAGTACATATCATCTTAATATGTCAAAATTAAGATTAAAAGACATGAGAAGTTGATTATAAAAACATAAAGATCCAAATTGATCTCATTATGTTTGACTTCCCTCCAAAGGCCAAGCAACATTAATTCTGAAAGTCAATAAAACATAGAAGCTTTCATTATTACTTGACTGCTAAAAATGCTAAAATGTGCATAAGAATTAATGAGACAAAATTCTCAATACGTT